CGACGCTTTCCTCCCTCAGCTCCGCCGCCGCCTCCCGCAGGCTGCGGGGTCTGAGGGGGTTAGAGTGACAGGTGTGCCCCGCGGGCCAGGTGGCCTCCGAACCCCGGGAGAAAAGGAGCAAAGGCTGAGGAACGGAGACTTTTCGAACTCCAGCCGTTCAAAGGGGGCCCTCAAATGTAAGTCTGCCTCCATCCCCCTGGGGGGAGTCGGGATGGAGAAGTCCTGTATTCTGTACTCCGTAACATTACGCGAACCTTGTGATGAACTTTTGGGGTTCCCCCAAACTGTTGGATGTACCCTCACACTCTCGAGACACAATTTCATCGGTGTTTTATTGCTTCAGGTTTCATCATTGTGCAGTTCTTTGAGCCTCATTTTGAGATCATTGGTTTGAGCACTTTTGAAGTTGTGTTCAATTAGGAATTCCCAGAATGCACATGCAAAAAAAATAAAAAAATAAAAATCATGTAAATCTGGAGAATGCTGCTGTCCATATTGAACTATGATAAAACATTCTTGAAATATCCTAGTGGATCTTATGATCCAGTGTACGTTATTGGCATTTTTTTCTTATTCGTGTCCAATTCATGTTGCAGGTATTCTGCATCCGCAGTAAAGTACAATGAGAATTCGTTCTTTAACTTTTATACATATTTCAAAAACATATACAAATTCGCTTGAATTAACCGTGCATTGTCAGCTACACTTACTTTACTTCAGTGTTGTCCTGACATCTGACTAAACAGCAAAAGTTTTAGCCCCGTCACTCAGTAGGACATTTTAGACCTATGGATCTGCTTTGACAATGAAAGGGAGGGGGGCACTTTGGGCAGGATGAGCCAAGAGGGAACAGAACTGGCTTTTAAACCTTTTTGTAGTTCTTTATGTGGAACCACACATTTTCAAAGCTTGTAAATGAACTTGTGTCAACTCTCAGATGAAAATCAGAGAAGGTAGGAAGAAAGAAAACCCATCACAAATAGTTATCACCATCTAAGCAAACAATAGCACATTATAGAAAAAAATTTTCATCTTTTCTACTGAAAAGTTACTCCTGAAAGTTTTTCCTGATAAAAAGTGGGCATAATCACTAGGTCTCTTCATGTAATACATTATGGATAAGTCTGAATAAGAATAAGCAAACAAAGAATATGTTTATAGGAAACATTTTTATTTACATGCATTGCAGTATTTATCCACAGATATAAAATTATGCCTTATCACTGTAGTGCTAAAGAAACTTGACTGGTGGTCACACGGGTATTAAATATTTTCCCCTAGTCCTCTGGCCACTGTGTTTTGTCAAAAGGGTTGTTTCAATGGTTCTTGTTTCCTCTATCTAAGTAATTGTTACACTAGAAATGAAAAGAAACAAACAAAAACTCCCATGGAAGGCTACTGTAGTACTCTACAATTCTTTATTTAGGTCTGTATCTGATTGTCGAGCGAGATCTCTGAGTGTATAAATTACTCCCTGGGAATACGTAAAGCTACAGAAAAAGGTTTGAAAATGTTTATCTCTTGCAATTTTTTTAAACTGCTGTGAATTGTTAGGTAATCTGGGAAATGCTTTAACTCTTTAGGTCTTTTAATAAAAACCATACTAGTTTGCATAGTGATTTTCAAATTTCATAGCATTTTCCTGCACATATTTATTTTATCTTTATAATAATCATATAATATAGGTATGAAAGGAATAAATCTTTACATTTTATATATAAAAATAGTTTGGATTAGTTAGGTTAAACATCCCAGGATTGGGAGCAGGGGACAACTTGAGTTAAGGGCCTAATGGACACCTGTTCTAGTTAGATTCTCTCAGAAACAGACACTGAAAAGTCAGGAATGTCCAAATGTATTGGAGGGTAGTGGATGGTGTAACACCTGTGAAAGAAAAAGGACTGAAGTAGAATTGGAGCTCCAGACCAAAGATTAGGTGTGTGTTTTTTAAATTTCATTTTTCAATTACACTTTACATTCAATATTATTTTGTATTAGTTTCATGTGTGCTGCATAGTGTTAGATAATCATAAACTTTACAAAATGTTCCTCCCAATATTTACAGTACCCACCTGGCACTGTGCATAGTTATTACAATATTATTGACTGTATTTCTTATACTGTACTTGACATCCCCTCTGTACTTTTTAATCCCTTCACCATTTTCACCCAGTCCCCCAACCTGCTTCCCCTCTGGCAACCGTCAGTCTGTTCTCTGTATCTATGAGCCTGCTTCTATTTTGTTTGTTCGTTTATTTTGTTCTTTAGATGCCACTTTCTGCCTCTGGGCCGTCCGGTTGTGGCAGGTTATGGCAAACTTGCCCTCGATCTCGTTCCAGGCCACAATAAAGACGAACTTGTGCTTCTCGCGCTCGTCGAACACATGGGGCCGCACAGCCACCCAGTAAGTGAAATCATATGGTATTTATCTTTCTCTGACTGACATTTCACTTAACACCCTCTAGGTCCATCCATGCTGTCGCAAATGGTAAGATTTCATTCTTTCTTATGGCTGAGTAATATTCCATTGTACATATGTAGCACTATTTTTTTTATCTGCTCCTCTATTGATGGGCACCAGGGTTACTTTCATATTTAGGCTATTGTAAATAATGCTGAAATGAACATAGGATTGTGTCTGTTCTTTCAAATTAGTGCTTTGGATATATACCCAGAAGTGGAATTGCTGAGTGATAAGGCAGATCCATTTTTAATTTTTTTTTTTTGAGGAACCTCCATACTGTGTTCTTTTTTTTTAATGTTGAATTTTTTTTAAAATATATTTTATTGATTTTTTACAGAGAAGAAGGGAGAGAGATAGAGAGTTAGAAACATCGATGAGAGAGAAACATCGATCAGCTGCCTCCTGCACATCTCCCACTGGGGATGTGCCCGCAACCCAGGTACATGCCCCTGACCGGAATCGAACCCGGGACCTTTCAGTCCGCAGGCCGACGCTCTATCCACTGAGCCAAACCGGTTTTGGCTACTGTGTTCTTTTTTATTGTTGAATTTATTGGTGTTACATTGGTTAATAAGATGATAAAGGTTTCAGGTATACAATTCTATAATACATCATCTGTATATTGTATTGTGTTGTTCACCACCCCAATCCATACTGTGTTCTATAGTTGCTGCAGCAATCTGCGTTTTCACCAATAGTACACAAGGGTTCCCTTTTCTCCACATCCTCACCAACACTTGTTTTTTTATGATTTATTGATGATTGTCATTCTTACAGGTGTGAAGTGATACCTTATTGTGGTTTTAATTTGCATTGCTCTCATGCAAAGATTGTTTCTTTTTTCTTTTTCTTTTTTTATTGATTTCAGAAAGGAAGGGAGAGGGAGAGAGAAATAGAAACGTCAATGATGAGAGAGAATCATTGATAGGCTGGAGAATTCTCTTGCTCTTTCATTTGGGGGTTGTTTCTTTGTCTCCTCATTTTGGCTGTCTGTTTGGGTTTGTGACTTTGTATTCGGTAGATCCTCTACACCTCTGAATCTCTAGTGCAGGACTGTGTCAAATGCTGTTTCTGATTAAGTAGATCAGGCAAAGCCTCAAACCTCCAGAGACTGCTGCTGCCTACAGATTAATAGGATTCTGACTTGACTTGCCCCAGGGTGGGGCAGTTGCTTCTGCCTGGAGTCTAATTGTTATTTTTAGTCTGTTAAGTGGTCTCAGAGCAAGGTGTTTTCCAATAGGGTGCGTCAACTGTCTTCTCCCCGGCAAGTCAAATGTCTGTTTGGGAAAGATGTCCTCTGCTGCATGAGGGAATGACTCAGCACAGGAAACTAGGGTCATCTGCCTTCTGAGCTCTAACCCCTGAGTCCCCAATCCTGGCTTCTGCTCACATAGCTCTAGTCTACTCTGCCCTCCCTCTGTCAGAGCACAAGGTGGGTGGCTCCACAGGGAATTTTGTGCATTGGTCCTTTAAGAGGGTGCCTGAATTTTCAGCAATCACTCTCTGGCAGACAGCAACCCCGCTGCTTTTCACAGCCAGATGTTATGTGGCTCAGTTGTGTTCTTTGCTGGGGGACACAGCTTGGGGATTAGATCCCAGAGTTCTCAGTGGCAATCCCCATAGCTGAGATATCTCTCCAGGACTTCAGTTGCTGTCTGTGGGTGCCCGGCCAGTCCTTTAGCGCCTCCGCCCCTCCTACCAGTCTCTATGCAGTCTCCACTTTTGGTGTCAGGGTTCTCTCCTGCAAGTTTTACATTGATTATTCAGGACGTTTTTCTATATTTTATTTTTTTATTGATTTCAGAGAGGAAGGGAAAGGGATAGAGAGAGAGAAATATCAATGATAAGAAAGAATCATTGATTAGCTGCCACCTGCACGCCCCACACTGGGGATCAAGCCCCCGACCTGGGCATGTGCCTTTGGCTGGAATCGAACCTGGGACCCTTTAGTCCGCAGGCTGGCCTATATCCACTGAGCCAGACCTTTCTGTATTTTAGTTGTAATTCCAGTTTGTTCCTGGGAGCATGTCTGTGCAGCATCCACTCACTCTGCCGCCATTTTAAATCTCTCCTTGATCGGTCTTTTTAAGAAATAGTGCCACACTGAGGGTTCAGTGTTGCTGCTCTGTTGCTGGCAGGTTGAACATTCAAAGCAGACAATTACTAGATCGGCCTTCATAAGTGGGAGTCCATGTTGTTTGACCCATGCAAAGCCTCCATCTCTGCCACTGTGGCCATGTCATATGTTTGCCTTGTCATGCCAATGAATGTCAACTGTGCAAGATATTTTATCCGCTTGGTTATTTGGTGTCCAGACCATGTAGGTGCTTTCATTGGGCATTAAAATACAATAAAATAAATTGTCACACCTTGTGTCCACTGTCATATGTCCATCTACATATCTCTTTCCCAGACCGTCTTGTCTCTGATATTTTAATTTTTCTCTTTCCAGGTCCCTGATCATTAACCACGAATCCATGTACATTTTTACTTTGGGCCATTCTCCTTTTGTACAAAGTGGGTGACCAGGTGCACCTTCTGAAGCTCTGCCCACTGGGAAGATTTGTCTTTCACACAGTGTCTCATTACTGTCTTTCACAGCCACTCCTGCATAAGGCTATAATGCAGACAGCATCCACTTTTAGTTTTGTATACTGAGTCAGCCTAGCCATAAACCAAGCTAGGAGTTTTTCATCCTCCTTCAGCTGGTTAAATGGGAGGGCCATATGGTCATTTGTGGTGTGTTTTTTGTTTTGTCTTAAAGAATATTAATATTTTATTTTATTTAGAAAGAGAGAGGAAGCAAGAGGGAGAGAGAGAGAGAGAGAGAGAGAGAGAGAGAGAGAGAAACATCCATGTGAGAGTGCAACATCAATTAGCTGCCTTCTTCCCCCTGTTGGGGGATGAGTCCACAATCCAGGCATGTGCCCTTGATCAGGAATTGAACCAGCAACTTTCTGGTGCACAGGATGGTGCCCAACCAACTGAGCCACACCGGCCAGGGCAGGCCCGTATGGCCAGGACCTGATGCAGAGCCATTCTCTACTCTGAGCCCTGCTCAAAGCTGGCACCTTCTATATATGGGTTGGGCAGTTTTCCTAGGTGTGGAATGTGTTGCCTCCAAAGCCAAAGAGGCTTAACAGTCATTGTGCTTCCTTCATTGTCGTAGTGGATGTATGATGTAGCAATCTGTCCTTTACTTTGAAGGGAATGTCCTGGCTTGCACCTGACCATGGTCTGTGCAGAAACTTTACTGAATTGGCAAGTACTTCAATTTTTATAGTTTATCTCCCTCCCTCTGGAGTACATGTATCTTACCAAAGTCTACAGCATGCTAACACCCTCTTACTCATGCTGCCAGATCAGCATGATGTCACCAATGTAATGAATCAATATGATGTTTTGCAGTGTGTCCAGATGGTCCAGATGTCTTCAGGCTAAATTATGACAGATGGTGGCAAGTTAACATGGCCCTGGAGCAAACTGTTTCTGATCTTTCCTGATTGGGATAGAAAAGTACACATTCACCAAATCAATGCTGTATACTATGTACCAGAGACCATATTATCTGTCCTAACCAAAAAACTACTGGCTGGGCAGCTGTGATTAAGAATACTTCTTTGTTGAGCTAGCAATAGTGTCCAGGATCCATCTGGTCCTTTAAGAGTCAGACCAGCAAATTAAACAGATATTCCAGGGACTTCCATGCCTGCATCTTTAAGAGTGGCATTAATCTCTGCTATTTCTCACTAGGATTATACTGTTTTTGACTCACTATATAGGTGGGAGGGGTGCATAGGCTTCCACTTGACCTTCCCCTCTATGATAGCTCTCACCAACAGGCCCAAGGTGTGGGTTACTGCCATGTATGTCCATCTCAATTATATATTTAGGGATCAGGGAAATGAGTATCTAAGTGAGTTCACAGACCCAGTGGACTCTTACTTTGGCCAAGACTCCATTTATTACCTGGCTCCTGTATGCCCTCACTCTAGCACAGAACCCATGATGAAATTTCTGGTTGTTAGGTATCAGTGTCAACTTGGACCCTGTCTTCAACAGTCTTTGAAATGTGTGAGTATTCCCCTTCCCCCAGTGAATAGTCACAAGTACATGACCCAGATTCCTTTGGGGAAGCACTGGGGAAATCATTATGTATTGTAGGGTTCTTCATACTGGGACCCAGTCATTTCTTTAGTCAGTGGGCACCAGGTCTGAAAACTGGTTCAGGTCCAGAATCTGGGCAAGAGATTTGCGGGGGGAGAGGGGGGGAGAGTAGTGCAGGGCAACTTCCCCTCAATTTCCTGCTCATCCACTTTATTTTGATTATCTAAAGCAGTGGTCGGCAAACTGCGGCTCGGCAAACTGCGGCTCGCGAGCCACATGCAGCTCTTTGGCCCCTTGATGGGCCACGAAGTTTCAATCGCACTGTATGTGCGCGCCCGCACATGGTATTTTGTGGAAGAGCCACACTCAAGGGGACAAAGAGCCGCATGTGGATCGCAAGCTGCAGTTTGCCGACCACTGATCTAAAGTATTAAGCAGTGCCTTTTGGCTGCTCAGTTATTTTGCCTTTGGGGATGCTGTGTTCTATTAATCATCCCCTAACTAGGGACACAGTGACCCTCTGGCTTCTGATGGTGAAATGCTACCATTGGCCTTTCTTGCTCCAGGGCCTTCTCTCCCCATTGAGCCAAATTCTGTTACTGCTTTTCCTGTCATTAACCCTGGCCTGCAGAGGAGACCCCCCTCACATTTCTAATGCCCTTGGTGAATGGTGTATTCTTTAGGCCTCCCTGGGAAACACAGTCCTTCTGGCTTCATATAACACATCCATTCCAGCATTCCCACTTCCCTGAGTCTTTACTCCCTCCCTCCCTCTTCTGTATACCATGTGAATTCAAGCATTTCAATTCAGGATCTGTGAAGGCTATTCTGTTTCCAAGGTTTCCAGGAGTTACTCTAGCTGCAAGTTACAACATCCTCTAGGGTCATAGCTTAAATATTAAATTATCTTGTCCTGAGAGTGTCAATAAACAAAGTTAGTTACAGCTTTTCATTATGTCTATAGGGTGAAACTTCATAACAGCCCTGGCTGGGCAGGTCAGTTGGTTCGAGCATCATCCCGAAAGCCAAGGTTGCAGGTTCATCCCTGGTCAGGGCACACAGTATAATCAATCAATGAATGCATAAATAAGGAGAAAAACAAATGAATCTCTCTCTCTCTCTCTCTCTCTCTCTCTCTCTCTCTCTCTCTGACTCTCAAATCAACAAATAAAATTTTTACAAAAGAAAATTCCCATAACAACCCTCAAATTCCATTATTCTTATATTTATTATTCCCCTTACATTTCAAATGGCTAAATCATTGCACCAGCCAGTGCATTCCTTTCCACTGGCACATTGTCCTAACTCACCCTCAGAGAAAACTTTAGAAACAGGACTCACCTTTTGCTAGGGGCTCTCTGTGCTATACCCATCACTCGGAATGGGATGCTTATTGCTAGTCAGGTGGGGAGTGATCTAGTCTCCAAACCCCATCTTCTTGTTTTCTTGGACTACTTCTAGTACCATCTGTGCTGGCTGGGCTCTCTGGGAGGCAGACACTGAGGGAGTGAGCAGTGTAAAAAGTTTATGGAGAGGAACACCTATGGAAGAAAAGGGGAGGAGGCTGCATGGGTAGAGGGGCATCAGCCTGGAATCTCTGCCAGACCAATGGAGGAACTTGAGCAGTGCTTGTTAGATGAGGTGTAAGCTGCACAGGAATGGCTAGACAGCCTTGCGCAGTCATCCAGTCACCAGGTAAGTCAGCCAAGAAGAATGTTATCTTGGCTACCATTGTCACAGCTCATCATAGCCTGGGGGCCACCTTGAGAAGTACCTGAGCTGGGCTCTAAGTCTAAGGTGAATACAAAAGGTGCTAATCAGCTGGGAGCTGTCAGCTAAGCCCACTTTTTGCAGCTGAATAGAAAGACTTTCTTGAAAGGGAATCTGAGTAGTGCATGTTCATGGCTACTCATTTTAGTATTTTAAGTTACATCTATTATGGCCAAGTATTCCTATTTTACAGCTCCCAAGCAGTGAGAGTGAGAAAAAGGGAAAAAATGTGGCATGAAAAGTGTGAAGCTCTATACAGTGATACCTGACTGCTCTGCCACCAGTTTGTAAGACACAGTAGGTCACTCTGCACCCATTCTCCCTCAGCAAGAGGGGCTTCCCCAGAGGGGATGCAAGAAAACTCCATGTTGTGGTTGAGCATCGACCTATGAACCAGGAGGTCAGGGTTCCATTCCCAGTCAGAGCACATGCCTAGGTTACAGGTGCAATCCCCAGTAGGGGGCGTGCAGGAAGCAGCCTATTGATGATTCGCTCTTATCATTGATGTTTCTATTTCTCTATTCCTTACCTTTCCTCTCTGAAATCAATAAAAATATATTTAAAAATAAAGCACCATGTTTTCAGGAATGGAGAAAACAGGGGGAATGTGTCTTCCTGGCTCCTTCTCATCTATCATTTCCAAAAAATGAGTTTCACCTGGTATGGAGTTCACACTTGAGGTTGCATCTTCCATCCCTTCAGGGAAACCAAAGTTTGGGCTCTGCACTGTGGTGTTTCAACCCAGCCTAGAAGTAGAGGGTGGCTCAGCACCAGTAGATTCAACAGCCACCCACAGATAGGAGCCAGCCACACAACTCCCAAAGGCAGCAGTGGTGGGTGGTCTGAGATACAGGCAGTGCTTTCTGAAAGAAAGGTAGTTGAATAGAGCTGAGAAGGTGAACTAAGTTTACATCTGATAAAAAAAAATCGAATTTTCATGTTGGGCTGTACCAAAGAGGAATAGCATGCTTAATTTAGGACTTCAATATTTCTTTAAAGCTTAAAATAAGTATTCCGTAAGTATTATCATTAATGCAACGTGTGTTCATATGTCAACACAGGTATATTTGAAACTGCAAGTAATCTGAAACAAGAAACTTTAAATACTACTGAGATACCACTTTTAAAAGCTTGTATCTCTTTTCATACATTTTCTAGGCTTATTTACAAAAAGGAGATCCTACTATAAGTACTGTTTTGTAAACTATCTCTTTCACTTAATAATGTGTCTTGGAGATGTTAATAAGCATGTATCTTTAATATCATTTAAAAACAATCTTTGGCCTGGCCGGAGTGGCTCAGTTGGTTGGAACGTCCTGTGCACTGAAAGGTTGCAGGTTCGATTTCCAGTCAGGGAACATACCTGGGTTGGGAGTTCAATCCTGGTTGGGGCATGTACTGATAGCAACTGATCAATGTTTCTCTTTCACATTGATGTGTTTTTTTTTTCTCCCTCTAAAATCAATAAAAAACATATCCTCAGGTGGGGATTTAAAAAAATCCACCAATGAATGCATAAATAAGTAGAACAACAACTCAATGTTTCTCTCTCTCTCTCTTTCTCTCCTCCCCTTCCTTTCTCTATCTAAAAAATCAATTGC